TCCCAGGCTTCCGCAGACCACGGGGTACGTACGGTACCGTACGGCGCAGCTATTCCGAACAAAAGGTCAAAACAAAAGTTTGTTCCAAACGTCTAGCTGCAAAGTGTCACCAAAGTTCCTATGGGGGTGCCTAAAATTGCATTGCGTTTGGAACGTCATTACCGACAACCGTAACCAGATTACATTCAAACTACGCAAACCCGGTACGTGGGGGAACGGAAAGTCATTCAATCCCAAATCCCCTTTTGTTCTGCTATTTTCATGATTCACCGCTTTGGGAATTACCACTAAAAATTAAACGCTGTGTAAAATCGAATTTCAGGCTATCCTGTTTTTATAAAATGCTCGAACAATTCCTGGTCTATGCCAGCTACGGTATACCCTCTGCAATTCTAATGTTCCTCACCATCATCTGTTTATTAAAAGTCCACGTTTGATGGAGAGCTCATTCTACAAAGTGTATTTGCTGGTGTTGGTTGTGGTAAGGTTCCGGAATTCAGGGCTGGCGCCCAAGTCGATCGGAACACCCATTTTTAACTAGGCGAGCCCGAATAAACCAGGACGAAATTAGCTCAGATGACTTTTCACCCTTTTTCAATAAAATGTTGTAGAATGAATAGAAACCTTAAAGAACTCAACGATATCTTTTTCAGAACTTCATCACTTACATCAACTACTTTATCACATTCAAATTACGGGAGTTGACAATATTCACTGGATGGTATGTCGGCATCGAAAAAGTCGTTCCCGCCCTACCATGCCTTTTTAACGTTTTATATCACTGCTATTTATACGCAAACATTAAACCTGATTTTATTGCACTTAAACAGATTCACGATAATCTGGATGCCTTTGATGCATGATAGGGTAGGGTTTGTTTGATGATCGGAATCTCCTAAAGTCTTAAATTCAAATCTTCTAATTTTATCATGAATTTTAATTTTAAATTCATTCTGTTAAGATTTCCTAAAACCCAAATTCAAGCGGAAATTCGAGATTCCCGTTCAGATATGGAACACCTGGTCCATAATCGTTGCGGGGTTTATATGCCTATGCATCGGCATCTCATTTTCCTACGAAAACTTTGGCATCGATAATTTGTATGAAGTTGACGATGACGGGCGTCCAGAGTTGACATCGGAGGCTGCCGAGGTAAGTCGGGATATCTCCAATTTAGAAATACCTACATAATGCCGATTTGTAGAACCTCGTTTTTGAGAATACCAAATTTACATAATGCCGATTCATCAATGCCGATTTTAGAAAATGCCGAGTTTGTCGATGACTTCGTGGGGAAAAAGTCCTACAAAACCCCAACTTTCTCAGGAACCCAGACTTTTTCTTGGTCTAAGCTCAAAACATAATCATTGCGATCGTGGTTTCCATGGTTTTGTTTTATTTTCATACAAAATCAAAAACAATTAAATGCTTTCTGAAATAACGATAATTTTTGAAGTACCCGAAACAATAAAAAGCGAAACTCCGATAATATTTACAGTGTTTTGTACTTAAAAATGACCTAAGAAATTCCTACTACTACCGTCTTTACGAAAAAGCTGAGCAAAAATCTGCTAGAAACAAAGCTCGTATGTTGATTTTTTTCATCGGCTTGATGTAAAATCGGCATTCGGTAAAACGACATTATGTGAAATCGGCATTTTGTAAATCGCCATTATGTAAATCGCCATTATGAAATACAGAGTTTGGTATTATCAGCTTATCAGCGTTGAAAAGCCGCGACGCGGTTTTTAAACCTTGTTGCATAGCCGAGGAAATGCAGTATTCGATTTCTATTTTTATAACCATAGCTATGTCCAGATTATTTCAATTTTGTTTTCAGAAGATGGCCGCCGCAAATCCGAACCTGACGCTGCTCACCGAGGTGCTACCTGGAATATCGCTGGTCATTATTGTGGCGACGGTCTCCAAGCTGATATATCACCGGATCCGGGGAAAAAAGTAAGTGAATGCCAGTGTTGGAAATTTAGACTTTTAGATTGGCTCCCGGGTTCACCGTCGAGATCCATCTGCTACTGATTTGCGTCGCAAATATGGGCGTGCAGTTGGCTGTGCTGATTTTTTTGGTAGGCAAAATTAAGCGTATTCGGCGCCTAATACAAAAGAGCAACAATTTGTAGAGGTGTCTGGTGACGATGGGCAGCACAATGACGCAATTTTACGCGGTGTTGGTGAGTGGAAAAATTGAAAAGTGGCAAGTAACAATGTCAACTTGCGTAGTGTCGAAGAAATAATTGGCCCGGAAGCTGATTCAGCGCAAAGCACTTTCGAAAGTTAGCAGCCCGTTTTCATAAGATTTTAGTCAAGCTTCATCTACGATCTCGCTTGCCTCTCCGAGGTCTACATCGGATTGTTGCTGAATGGGCAACTTCGGAGCAGATTTTACGCCTTCTACTTGGGGAAGGCTTTCCGTCCAAAGAGCCCACAAAAAGTTTTGGAGATTAGCCACGTTGGCGTATTGCCAAAAATCGAACGCTGCAAAGTGCATGACACGTCGAAAACGACTGATTATTGATTTTTCTGTTTTTATTCAATTTCGCCGGTCTGGTGTGGCGTGGTGTAAATAAAGTTCTTGGATTCAAATTTTGAACAAAACAATCGTTCTCTTCATTCAGATGCTCGGAGGTCGCAGAAAATGGATATGTCGATTTAAATGAGAGAGAACGATTCTGAAAAAGCGTGAAGTCCTCTTATGGTCGAAGTGGAAATTGGTTTCGTGTGATAGCAGATATTTTGCACAATTTATCGCTCCTTCGGAACCTATTAGCAAAAGTGGCGGAACCCACCCAGATTAAACAGTTACAAAGGTTTTTATACCCAAAACGTCACAAATTGCTTACTTTAAAGCGTCCTGAAATATTTTTGGGGTGAAAAGAGGGCGGGACCTGGAGTAAAAGAACGTGGTATTTCGAATGGGTTACCTCACGAACCCGTAGCTCGAAATTTGCAAAAAAGGTACTAATTTTGAGCCACGGGTTGATGAGGTAGTCCATTCGAAAGAGCACGTTTTTTACCCCTAAAGTATTTCAGGACGCTTTAAAGTAAGACGATGCTTTGTGACGTTTTGGGTATTAAAACCCTTGTAACGTTTTAATATGAGGGGTTCCTCAACTTTTGATAACAAATTCGGAATCAGCAAAAAATTTTGCACAAGGTGTGTTATCTAACGAAACGAATTTCCACTTCGACCTAAGAGGGTTACAGTAAGCATGAAAATCCGGCTGCGCGGAGATAAAACCAAAAAACTTTTTGATGCGTACTGTAGTTGGACAATATAAAGGATCGGTATCCCCCTATTCGAAATTTCGCGATTGCAGCATTATGAGATTGTGAAATTCCTGAGCTTGAATCTTGTCATACTGTCATCGAGCCCACCCCATTATTTGTTCGTGACAGCAATGGCAATTGCCCAAAAGTGTTCAAAAATCAGATTTAATCAAGGATCTCAGCGCCTCAATTATTTACACGAACTAACCCAATTCACACGTGCGTGCGGACCAAAAACTGATTCCCGTCCGAACGCTTCATACTGTGAAGCTTATGGCTCTTTTCTTTGCTTCCATAACACGTGCTTCCAAAATCGCGGACTTGCTGTATTTTTCATTGTTTTAATGACACTTCGGCCCCGAGGGAAGCCACCAATCACCAACTTACCCTGGTTGCAGGCTGTCATCGTTTAAGATCTTTGCACCCAAATTACCTTCTGCATTCTTGAGGCAAAACCTGATCATTGAGACAGTTTTTCAACTTCAATTTCTTTCCGAGTGGCTGTAACTTCACAGAATACAAAGTGTCCCGAAAAAGCGACTCCCCTCTAACTCGACGCAGAAGTATCGGATCAGAATGATAGTAATACCATTTCAAAGCCCTGCGACTTTGCAACAATTTTCAAAAGCATGCTTTTATCTAAATGCTCATTTTTACAACGCATTTAAAACATCAGGGAACGGCATCTGCATCTAATTAACGGCTGCCTGCGGTCATTTTACTGCGAGAAATTGAGGCTAATTAGCTCGGATGCAAGCCCGAAAAACCCGAAAGGTTACAAAATGGCCTTGTTAAATTGTGGTTTCATAAAACATGGTTTTGAAGGTTGGTTCAAACTCGCGGTTTGAAGGGCTTTCGAATGGTGTAACTTTCATTCCGATCCGATACTTCTACGTCGAGTTAGAGGGGGTGCTGTGATTGGGACACGCTGTACATCTTCGAGAAAATGCTCGCCAATTTTCTATTCTACATGAGCTACGGTATCCCATCTGCAATTTTGATCATACTCACCATAATTTGCTTATTAAAAAGCCGAAAATTATTGGAGAGTTCATTCTACAAGGCCTATTTGCTGGTGCTCGTTTGTGTAAGTTTACGTACTCCCAAAGGCTACACTTTACTTTACACCCCCCCCCCCAGCCGGGATGTTTTGGCTATAGCTTTCTTATTTTACATTATTGTAGGCTCAACTTAAAATGCCTAGTATTTTTTTCGACGCTCTTTCGAATGGCGTTGCAAAAAGCCCGACAAAATAAGCGAAAATTTGACAACTTTGAGACCCATCGGCTGTGGGGGGGGGGGGGAGGAATAAATTCGTACCCTCCCAAATAATCTTTAGAACTTCGTAACCTATATAAACTATTGCATCACCTTCAACCTCCGCGAACTGACGCTAGTCGCGCCATGGTACGTCGGCATCGAAAAGTGGTTCCCGGCTTATCCCGCGCTCTTCACGTTTTCCATGGCCGCCATCTATACACAAAACCTAAACCTAATTTTGCTGCATCTCAACAGGTTCACGATTTTCTGGATGCCGCTGTTGTATAATAGGGTGAGACTTAGATTTCGTCGAGACGCTAGACGATCTTTTCAGATTTCCGATTACCTTGCAAAACCTTTTCCAGATTTGGACCACCAGGTCGATTATCGCCGCTGGATTTTTATGTCAATGCCTGGGCCTGGCGCTAACCTACGAAAATTTTGGCATACCTAATATGTACGAGGTTGACGATGATGGTTATGCAGTGATGACCATCGCGGCCATGCAGGTACGCGCCCCAAAAAGGGTACGAATTTCCACGCGCGCAGAACTTTTTGGTGGTTCCGAATCTGTGTTCAGAACGTTCTGATCGCACCTTTTAAGGGGGGGGGGCAATCATTACTTCATTAACCAGGGTTGAAAAACCGCTTCGCGGCTTAGGCTTAGGCCCTGGCCTCGTCTAGTACCTGCGAAAGTCGCCATTTGCATGCTTTTTCCTGAAGTCTAGCAAGTAAAAAAAGTGAAAAATGCCGCTCTCTCCCTTTATATAAGGATGGGGGAAGGACCCAAAATGAACAAATTTTTGACTTCTTCGAACATTTTTCTAACTTTTTTGAAAGTTTTTTGCTTTAAATATAGTTAAAATTTGTCAAAAACAATCGGCTATTTTTTCTTTTTTTTGCTAACCTCATATTTGATTACTAGTCCAAACGGACCGCCAGAAAAAAAGCTGGTTTTGGATTTCGGATAATTTTTTTTGCTAGATTAACAAAAAGGCAAACCGGATTTGGGAGCTACAAAAACTTACAAAAAAACTTTCCCGTTTTCAACTTGATTGCCATTAAAAAAACCAATTAGGCTATGGGCGTGGCTAATCGAAATATGCAGCTGCTCACGGTGGTCTGGCCCGGGATTTCGTTGGCCATCAATCTGGCAACCGTCTCCAAGTTGATCCACTATCGGCTCAAGGGCAAGAAGTGAGGAGACTCTTTGTACTTCGTCATCCTGAAAAATTCAGATTCGGTGCAGGCTTCACCATCGAGCTACAACTATTCTTGATTTGCATCGCCACGCTGGTCGTGCAGCTGGCATTATTGATATTTCTGGTAGGCAAACTGACTCTATCATGCCGCGTTAACATCGGCCCGAAAAAGTAGCAGAATATGGAAAAACTGGGACACTCAATTCCGCCGCGATATACAGCTTTTTCCCTGCTAACCAGGGTTGTTCATTTTGGGTCCGGTCCGCGTCCGTCCGGCCCGGGACGCGGACCCGTCCCGTCCGCGCAATTAGCATAAAAAATTGCGGACGGGCTGGGACGGGTCCCGGACGGGCCGGACGGACGCAGTGCGGGCTGGGGCGTCCGCGCGTCCGCTATGCAAATGGCCGGAAGCACATGCAAAATTATTACATGCTAATTAAGATCTTCAACCAATTGCTGCCCTTTCTTAATTTGCATAAGTGCTTTACTTGGGAAAGAACGCGCTAAACCGTCATTTCATCAATTATCATGCGAGTTTTGGCTGCCCGCGCTTTGCATAGCGGGCTCGGCTACTTCCTGCGTCCGAGCCCGTCCGGCCCGTCCCGGACCCGTCCCAGCCCGTCCGCACTCCCGGAACAAATTATTCGGACGCGGACGGGTCCGGGCCCGCGTCCGTCCGAGCCCGTCCGTGAACAACCCTGCTGCTAACCAACCACAACGTTTTTTTAGAGGTGCATAACCATGGGTGGCAAATTGACGCCACTTTCTACGTTTTTGGTAAGTCAGCTAAGCTTACAAGGAGACGTTTTTTAGTGTCCACGGAGTTTTGAAATGGGACCAAGCCTATTTTATGCAGAATTTTTTGCTGATCAAAACGCAATTTTCTGAATCTGCGAAACAATCTTATTTCAAAACTTATGAAGCTTTAAAGTGCGAAAAATGCCCAAAATGGCCAACTTTCGCCGTTTTTCGCCCTTTAAAACGTCATAACTTTCTTATTTGGGTCGTTTCGCAGATTCTGAAAACGAGGTTTTGATCAGCGCAAAATTCTGGATCAAATAGGCATGGTCGCATCTCGAAACTCCGTGGACACTAAAAAACGTCTCCTTGTTAGTTTACTTGATTCCTATTTAAGCAAACGGAATAAGCTGTTTCTTTCTAATCTTGATCAAGGATTTGCTGGAATAATGCCGAAAATCATATATCGCCATTTCATAAGCTCCAATTTTCATAATGTCGAAATTCAGAATGCCGAAATCACCAAAGTCGAAAATCATATATCGCCATTTCATAAGCTCCAAATTTCATAATGTCGAAATTCAGAATGCCGATATTTTTTGCATCAGATCTAGGGGGTAGAGTGAGGGAGCGGCAGGCCTCCTCAGGCTTTCTTGGGCCGAATTGCATTTCCGCGCCTGCCGACGCCTGGCGGAAGCCTAAGGGTTTACGCAGGCTTTTTATGCAATGCGTGAAAACATGTTAATCTGGTTACTGCATCTAAAACGTTGGTATCTTTTGTCGTAATAACAAATTACAAGGATGCCGAAGGTGGGAAACATATAGGAAAGATATCAGGAGAGGCAATTGCATCCCCCGCCCGTTTGATCCGACTCTTGGCTTTTGTGTATCCGCGTGCTATTAACATATCGTGCTGTAAGGTTTGTCAAAAACAGTACCCTAACTTTGTAGAATATTCTTGGACCCCATACAGCTCTTCGACCCCCCGGAAGTTTAAAAAAAATCCTTATTTGTTCGGCAAAACTTCGAATATTATACGACTTTACATAAAATTTCCAGATAAAGCCTGACTAATTAGAGGTCAGGCGTGCTTTGCATAGCCCAGGCTCAGCCTAGGCGACGCAAATTAAAAAAGCCTGAGGAAGCCTAGGCAAGCCTAGGCTTTAGCCTAGGCCTCCCTCACCCTACTAGGGGGGTTTCCGGGAAAATTAGCTGATGTAAATTTCGACATTCTGAATTTCGGCCCTATAAAATTTCGACAATAGGAAATTTCGGCATTATGAATTTCGACCTTATGAATTTCGACATTATAAATTTCGGCATTAAGATTTTCGACATTTTGAAAAACCCTTGCGAACAGCATAAAGTATTTTAGCATCTCGAGTTCTGAGCGATCATTAGACAATTTTTCCCGAAAAGAACTGCAAAATTTTTAGTCGAGCTTCATCTACGACCTGGCTTCCCTTTCTGAAGTTTACGTGGGATTGCTACTAAATCGGCAGTTGCGAAGCACATTCTACGCCTTCTACTTCGCGAGATGTTTCACGCGGAAGACCCCAAGAAAGGCAGTGGTTTCCGAAGTCAGCCGAAGTCAAAGTCGAAGTTGATCGCAAAAATGGGGCAAATTGATTGATTTACGATTATGTATAGGTTTCGTGCCGTGCTCTATAAATTAAGATATTCTTGCTTTTCTTGAATTCATACATTGATGATAAATGTTTTGGGGCTTACGTTTTAAAAGGCGCGGAAGTAATTTTTCGACAGTGATCATGGCGATGCTGATGCAAAAACCGTAATTAGTTGTGCATCGTAATGGGAGCGGAATGGGGCTCTAAATTCTTTCATTTATATATTTCAAGAGAAAAATGCAAAATTGTATCCAATAAAAAAAACGCGCCTTCTAACTCAACGAAGAGGTATCGGATCGAAATGGTAGTTACACGAATAGAAAGCCCCTGTAACGGTGGGCTCGCAAAAGCTTCAAATTCATATTTTTTAAACACGCGATTTTTCATGCCACTTTTTAAACTTTTCGGGTCCTTCGGGGTTGCATACGAGCTAATCTTCATCAATTTCTCCAAGCAAAACGATCGGAAGTAGCCGTTAATCAGAAGCAGAGGACTTTTGTTTAAGATTATATTTTCATACTCGCTTCATGTCATTTTTCCGCGTGCTCTCTCTCTCTCTTTCTCTCTCTCTCTTTCTCTCTCTCTCACCTCTCTCTCTCTCTCTGCTTGATTGGATTTTGCCATGCATGGGATTTCAATTCAGCGGTTATTGCTCCACGCTCGACCTGATGGTTTGGGCTACAAATTTCATAAAGAGGGTTCTATCGAGAAATATTTTGCATAGACCATCTTATTTTGGTTATTTACTTTATCTTCTGCAATTTTGTTGCTTTTTACTATTGGTGGCGTTTTGCCTGTTCCTACGATTACTACTAGAGTGGCGCTTATTCAAATCAGATTTGAATAAGATTCAAATTGTTCAAATCAAACCGATTTGATTTGAATTGGAGCCGACCAAATCAAATCAAATCGATTTGATTTGAGTTCCACCAGTTCAAATCAAATCCAGCCGATTTGAATAATTTGAATAAGATCTCATCGAAATGAACCCAACGCAACTCGTAATTCGTGCACCGCTCTTTCCCTATAATCTCTTGGCATTGTTCCAGCGTCCCAGTTAACGATTCCTTATACATTCCCTATTGTTTTCACTCGTTAACTTTTCCAAGGAAAAACCATAGCGCAGGCTAAATCTGACAAAAAAACGTCTGGCTCAATCTTATATAAATGTCATCAAAACTCCCCATGAATTATTGTAAAGGACACCTAAATGTGCAGAAACGGCGCTACCAAAAGCCCCTTCGAATCGCCGATTTTCAATTTGCATCCTTGATAAGCCTGTTGTTCAAATCCCAAATCAAATCGATTTGATTTGAGTTGGCCAGCCCCTATTTCAAATCAAATCGATTTGATTTGAAGTTGATTTTTGGGCACTCAAATTTGCTAATTCAAATCAAATCAATTTGAAGCCGATTTGATTTGAATAAGCGCCACTCTAATTACTACCAAAACTATGGTCATCTAACCTACGATTATGTCAATTTCATTAGACATTCTAGATTTTCATTTCATTTTGCTCATTTTTTGATTTTGTATAACATTTAATTTCAGGAGCCCCCTCGGCCTGGGTGATTCTACCAAGGCTACAGGCGCTTATCTGCAATGGCGCCGGCAAAGACACAGAATAAAATAGGCAAATGAATATTCAAAACCTAAAAATTATTTTAATTATTTGCAAAGGCAGGACGGCATACCAGTAGTATGGCTTCACACTCTTAATGTACCAATGGATATTCCAGGTTAGAAATATCATTGATTTTGGCGTGGCCCAGCGCTAATAATAATTTATTGGGATGATATCTCCAGACGCGCCGGTTGGTTTTCACTTTCCTAATAACGCTGACATTTAGAACGTTTACGGGATGCGCAATTGATTGTGGCGGGAACCTTTCGGCTGGGTGTAAAGTCAACCGTAGCCCATTCTACAACTGTTTTCTTCACCTAGAAATTCAAAACGAAGTGATCATTTTTAAAACCGAATTAAGAGCAAACTGTTCTCAGAATTCATTTTTATCGAATAAGCCGGTTCTGGGCTCTGCTTCCGGTTGGCCCGAAAATGCGCCCCTCGTATGGCGAAATCGAATATTTCAGATATCCGGGAGTCCCGCAAGCGGCCGCCTATGGGCTATACCGACTCCGGACTTTTCCGTTACAACAAGAATAGCAACCACCAACTCTTGCTTAATTGCCTGGGAAGTGATGAAAAATTTATAAATGCGATTGGCATGAGGTCGCGACCAATAGGGCACAAAAAGTGAGGCTGATTAAATGTTTTCTGAACCTTGCTAGATTTAGATATTGGTCCAATACAGCTTCAAAATATCGAGTTCCACTACTGGCGTGGATTTCTCTTTCCTAAGACGACTGCTGTAACAAAATCCGATCGAAAAGTCGTGATCTGCAAAAAGTGCAGGGACAAGAGCTGAGATCCAGACCGACTACAGTAACAAACAAACGAAAAGGGCTTCAAAACTACATATAAAGCCAATACTAGAAATACAACAAATAAAATCCAGAATACAACAGGCCTAAAGGGGCCGGGAAGGCCCAGGTAAATTACCATAAAACGGGTTTTACTTCTAAAACTAGCATCAATCTTCTCTGTTTCCTCCCGCCTCGCCCCCCCTCTCTGCCCATTTTTTGCATTAGCATTTCCGGTTGGCTCATTACCAGTTATCGATGAGCACTGATCTGCCTTCATTATCTCTGAAAATTGTCAATTGACGACGAGTCATCTTTTCCCGATTAAAAGCTAGTTTTCCCTCTGTGATCGTTTGTAATCGGAAGAGAAATTTTTAATTCCAACCCGTGAATCGCCTTTTTGAATCAACAATGTTTTGAAAAGCTAAAGGGGGCTTTGTTCAATATTTTTTGCGTATAATTGGCCATTTTTCCCCCGAAAATCAACGGCCATCGATTCACCCTAGGGTCAGCTGGCCGACTGCCCGCTAGTCGCTGGTGGGTGTAACTCTTTTGCCCAGCCTAAGCTCATGTTCTTTTCAATCGGCACTAGACAGCCGGGCCCGAATTTTTGCTTTTGTTAAACCGCTTTTTCTGATGTTGATGCAAATTTAGGTTTCTGACTACTTGCAAAAAGTTAAAGGACACATCTCAGTCTCTCTCTCTCTCTCTCTCTCTCTCTCTCTCTCTCTCTCTCTCTCCTTCCTCTATGGTCCAATTTCCATTCATAAATAGAAAAATAAAACGTTCAGACCGTCCTCTCGGCTCGGTTAATTTCTCCTCAACGATGGCGCTTTCAATAAACAGCGCTTTTTATGGACTTTTTTAAAAATAATCAGGTAACAGAATATTTAAGGTAAGAGTAATTACAATGTAAAGATTACGAATAAAAACAGGATGAAAAAGATGGTGTGATGGCTATGACCACTGCCAACGAGAAGGCAGATCCCATTCAACGTTCCTGTGCAAAATGTAGGTTTTCGAGTTGCCGGAGTTTTGACCTTTTCTATCACTCCGACTATCACACTTATTTATTCCGCCTCTCTTCCCCAATGTAAATGGAGTGGTTTCGACCAGGGCATTGCCCCAAAGCTAGGATAAGATTGCGCAAAACTGAGTAGCATTAATGAATCACGCATTTTTGCAATTTAACCTGTTTCAGTTTCACTCGCAAGGGCAGGAAAGGGCCCAATATCTATAATATAAGGTTTCGAAATTTTAAGCGTAATTAAAGCAAATATATATAGAGAGAGAAAGCAGATTAAACGCTGCTCCCGCTAATGGCAAAAAAAACTTGCAAACAGAGTGAGATCCAGGATCACCATGTAAGGACACAACGACAAATGGGCAAACAATACGAGTGATGGATGGAATGGAGAAACAACAAGTAGGTAGAATAAACCTTTTTGAAAGTCAAACAAAAATATTTCAGTCTGCAAACTGGGATTGGAAAGGCGCAACGAATGGATTCCAGGGTAGGAATAACGCCTAAATTTCTGTAGGATTTTTTAAGCTTTTTTGAGATCTCAGCTGACAAGGGGTGATTTTGATAATTTTGCAGTTCTGTTGCAATGTGGTATAGCTCATTCAATGAAGTTTCACTCACCTCAAGATTTTCAAAAGTCGCTGAACACTACGGTCTTCCAGAAAATAGCAATTTTCAGTTTTTCGCCCGGCTTAACAAAATATAATTAATTTTTCGAGAGCGATTTTCGTTCAAAAATTTTTGAAAAAACGGAAATTTCGAGCTTGATCGTATGAGCGATGTCACATCGACTGTAAATGAGGCTGAAAAAGAGCCTTTCTTAGTTCCTCTTGAAAAGCTGCAACATATTTGATTTTAATTTTACTTACAGGATATGAATCGACGCTAAAGGAAGAGCGGGATAAAAACTACCGTAATCGATTCTGCGTTTACAACGACAAATGAAGCATGGCGCAATTTCGTCGTCGACGGTTATGATCAAGCAGCGCAGGCTGAGCACCGTAACCCGGCCAAAAAATACACCTTCTGCGCGAAATGCATCATGCCCGATTTTTAAATAGAAACGGGACACAAAATTGAAAGCCGCCAATACCAGAGTCAAGTTGGGGAAGCAGAGGTAGAAATCGAGGCAGACACAATCCATCAGACGCGCGGAATCAACTTTATGCATGATGTGGTCAAGTGGGCACAGTGGCTTGAGCAAAAAAGATTGCGCAATTTTTTCGAGACGCCTGAGCTATGAAGATCACAGGGTCTCACGGCTCGGGACATGGAACAAGCCGAAGGAGAGGCGCTAAGGCTAGCTGCTCTTCGACGAGCGAGAGGTTTTCACCTCTCGGGAGAGCTTTTCGAAGCAATCGTAATCCGAGCCGGTTTGGTCAGCGGTTTCCCCGTCCTAGAAATGGAAAGACAGGGATTCCCAGAAGAAGAAGGAAGAAGAAGGGCGCAACGAAGAAGAGGATTCCGATCTCGATCTTTCGGAGCACGGCGAGAACAGCTTGGCGGACGAGGCGCACCCTCGCCAAACGTCAAACGAGCCTAATGAGGAAGCCCGAAAGGAGGGCCCAACTAGGAAGCGCGAAATTAATCAATTT